GCCAGAACAACTCTCTTCTGACCAGAGCAACTACGACTGCTCTAACTAGGAAGACCAGTCCAGGGAAAGCCAAGATGAGCCAAGACCATAGCAGGCAGCTGAGTGCTAACAGCCTTAAAAAGGCATGTTATTGCCGATGGGTGCAACACCAGTAGCTCATCCTCACTCTGGTCCTGTGGAGTTACTTTTCTTGCACCTGCATTCTAAAGGAGGAGACTGGGTCCAGGGACTGCTGGTGATTTGCCTGAGGTTGTTCAGCAGGCCAGGAGGGGAGCCAGACCCTCCAATCTCCAGCTCCCACTTCCCTCCCCCAAAGGACATCTCTGGACAAACACAGGGATTTTCAAAGAGACTGATTCTGTGGGATTCTTCTATAAACTTCAGACTGCAGGCTAGGGGAGCAGCTCCTTGGCTAGGGGTACATGGCAGCATTAGAAGGGCCTTTCTAAGCAGTCAAATCCAGAGCAAATTTCTCTGGGAAAGCCTGTCCCTTGAGTTCTCTCAGGTCCCCATCCATCACTGGCCAAGCACTCCCTTCCAGAGCACCAAAGTGGAATCTCACCTTCCTTCCCTCCCTTCAGGAAAGCCAGATAGACTCAGAGGGGACACCACCCTGGGGTGGAAGGAAAACCGAACAAAGAACAACTGTTGAGAGCTCAGTAAAGCAAGAGAGATTAGGCTGCTTCCCTGGGAACCACAGAAAAACCCAAGAGGGAGTTCTAAGAGCCCCAGCCAGCAGCAGTGTCACCTGGGGGCAGGGCCCTCCAGTGGGGAGCTAGGTGGCCCACAGAGTTAACCCTCACCCTGCCCTTTGCTTTGTCCCTCCGCTTGTGAGCCAGAGATCACCCTCCCAGCCAGCCTTTCCCGGAGTTAAGAACTGTACCTGAATACCAAACCTGATCCTTATAGGCCAGGACCCGAACAGCAGGCTGGCAGCTACCTGACACCTCCCGTCCGCCCCAGGCCCTGCCCTAGAGCCATTATATGCCAGGATGGAGGCCAGGTGGTTGGCTCAGATTGCTATTAGGTCAGCACCTATGCGGCTTAGAACAAGGTAAAATGGATTCTAATGTAGCAGCCGAGGCTGAGGTTAGACCTAAAGGAAAAGGCACTGCTGTAGGGACGCCTCCTCTTAGCCCTTGGCATGTGCGGGTGTGGAGTCCCACCTGTGTGTGGCCCAGGCTAGGCTTGGGGTGGTCAGGGGATGCATGAGAGCTGGTATGATTAGTCTTCTCTAGAACCTTCCATATGCTCTGGGATGCTGCATACCCCTGCATGTCACCTGTCATCGTCTTACCTGTCATGACAGAGGTTCCTCTGGCCAGCCTCACAGACACATCCGACCGCCCAGCCCAGCTGCAGCGCAAGTAGATGTAGCTGCTAACGGCTCACGCGAGAGAGCAGCAGGAGACCTCTTCACAGGCCCTGAGCACCAAGCTGGCAGAGGGTGAGCCCCACTCCAACTGTGAGCAGCCCTTGGCTCTGCCTCCACCTCACCCAGAGTTTCCCCGCCCCCTCCCCTGGGCTTCCTGCACACACACACACACACACCAGCCCCAGCAACCTGTCTGCTACCTGTTAGAACCTCAAGGGGCCCTTTCCTCCACCTCCTAGCAACAGCAGCATCCCTACCTCTAGATTTTCCCCCTGGGAGACCATGGAAAGGGAGAGTGTTGGCCTCTGTGGGAACCTAGAGCTGGTCCTGATGGCAGCAGACCCAGGACATCCCCTAGGATGTGCCCCTTCTTGTCTCTCACCTCTGCCTCTTCTGCCATCTTCCAGAGTCAGCTTTGCAGAGAGGAGAAAAGAGGCAAGGCCCCAGGACAAGCTACCTAGCAAGGAAAGCAGAGAGAAGGGTCTGTTGCTTTTCCAGCAGCAGTGTGGTGCAGTCCCAGCCCATTGCCCTGGTAGGGTTTTAACCCTTCTGTCTGCTTCCTCAATTTTAAGACTGAGCTCCCCACCACCCAAAGGGGCCTTGTGATTGACAGAAGTTGAGAAGTGTGCCCGAGGCCAGCAGAAAACTCTTCTTCCTCCAGCCTGGCTCTCTGTGTCCCTCATGTATCACACTAGCCCTCACTCCATTTACCATCAAGAGTTGTCTGTGTCTGGCTCTGCCATCTCTGAACTGGAAGGAAAGCAGAACCCAGAATCATCCACTTATCATTCAGAGCTGAGCAGTGCTTCTCATGGTGGAGGGGTAGGGATCCCCAAAGGAGCAGCAGGCACAGGAGAACTGCAAATCTAATGAGAGAGGGGATAAGGTGCTGGGGGGCATGCCCTGCAACAGACCATCAGGGTGGAGGTGTGGGGAGGGCTCGCCTGCCCTGTCTGGTGGATGGTTTTGCAAAGCCTGAGCTGGCCAAAGCCTCCATGTGCCTACCCACCAAGGCTGGGGGCTTCTCTGAGTTTTGGTTTCATACTAATGGCATGCAACAAAACTACGGTGGAAGCAGAGTGAAAAACCAAAAGAATCCAATGAGTTCCTGAAACTGGTGAGGGGAGGGCATGGAAAACAGCCTACTGAGCCCAGTAACCTGGACCCAAAGGTTAGCTCTGCTACCAACTCACTCCATAGCCCTGGTAGTCATCTGAGCCTGAAGTCTATGTTTGGGGGTAAATTTTTAGGGTTATTCTGAGAATTAAACACTTCAGCATGTATGAATAAACGGTGCTATGTGCATTTAATGGCAGCATTTTAATGCATTTAAGGGCAGTGTTGTTTGGCCTCCACACTCAGGTCTTACAGTCATGTCTTCCTACTGCCAGTGACAGCAGAGACAACAGCAACAAAGACTGTGAACCAATTGGATAACAGCAGATGCTTTTCCATCACCCATCTGAGCCCCCTCCCAACACACACACACACACACTCTTCCTCTACCTTCCCACCTCTGGCCTGGGCTGCCATGTGCCCCAAGGACCTGGGCATTCCTACCCCTGCCCCTGAACTCCATACAGCAGGGCTGTGTTCCCAGATGAGCTACCAGCCAGGTCAGGCTTGCAAGGACCATGAGTCAGGACTCTGCAGGGGAGACTGAATCAGCAGAGCCCATGGGCCACTGTCTTGGCTTGCACTGGAAAGGTCAGGCTACTACGGTTATAGCCAGGGGCCAAGTTTGATTTGGATATAAACAAAGATGTCCCCAGCAAAGCAGAAAAAGGCTGATGGCCTCTGGTGGCCTTTTCATTTCCCTTTACTAATGCCAGGGCAAGGCACTCACCTTCTCTGGTCTCAGTTTTCAGATCTGAAAATGGGCAGTTGCCTGAGATGATCTCTAGAGACCAGGTCAAGGGAACCACTATGGCAATAGGAACTACGTGAATAATCAAACCTGGCCTGGGATCCACACCTCTCTCAGCCCCTCTCCTCTCCTTCCCTCAGCTCAGGACTCTGTCCTGGCTGAGAAAGGACAGAGTTGCCTTAGGTCCCTTGTTTCAATCCTGCCCAGGAATGTTACTGCCATGAATGCATCCAATGGTCACACACAGACTCCTTCTCCCCACTAGCATGATAGCCATGGCCCCAGCATTTGTCAGCCCATCGTCTCTGATCTCTGAGTGTCCAAGATGCTTGCCTAGAAGTTTTGAGGGAAGACAGCAAGATGGGTCACTAAAAGAAGGTGCCTAGGACAGAGTAGTGTGAGGATAAGCCTCTGCCCTCCTCAGCCTCCCACACAACCTGACAATGGTGGGGTTTAATCTATGTATATATTTGAAAGAGCAGAGAGAGAGAGAGAGAGAGAAATAATCTTGCACCTACTGGTTCACTCTCCAAATGACTGTGAAAGCCAGGGCTGGGCCAGATCCACACCAGGAGCCTGGAACTCCATCCTGGCTTCCGTGTGTGTGGTGGCCAACGTACTTGAGCCATCACCTGCTGTCTTCTCCGGTACGTTATTGGGGAGCTGGATAGGAGGTGGAAGAGCTGGGACTCAGACAGACACTCCGGTATGGAATGCTAGGCACCTGCCCACAGGAACCTTGAATATACAATATTGGATGAATCACAACCTTTGATTATAACTTTTTTCTTTATTCATGAGACAGAGAGACAGCAAGACAGAGATCTCCTATCTTTGGGTCCACTTCCCAAATGTCCACAATGGCTAAAACAAGGCCAACAAGAAACAATACTGGTCTCCCATGTGGTTGCCAGAGAGCTGATTGCTTGAGCCAACAGGCTGTGCCTCTGAGGGCCTGCATCAGTAAGTTTCCTTCACCCCACCATCCCCAACTAAAGCTAGAATTTAATAATCTGCATGCTGCCATGAGACTTTTTCCTCACACTCATTCATTTCTGCCAGAGGCAATGAACAAGTCTCTTCTATTTATCAATTCAAATATTGCCTCAACATCTTGGATAGGTCAGAAACTCTGCTAGAAGCCACCTGCCAATGCAAATGTCATCCCAAATCCTGTGCTCATCATTCCTGCTTCATGAGATTCTATGCTATAGGTCATCTTTAGGGACTCACTTTTTCTCCAGATAGTCGATTGCTAATTCCATCATACTATTTATGTCTGTAGTTTGTCTTGACTGCAGCACATCTTTTTTTTTTTTATGTGAAGATACCACAGTCAGCTGCATAAATGTTGGCCTGAGAGGGAGTCCTAAAACTGAGGCCTGTCCACTGGTTCTTCCATTCAATACATATTTATTCAAAACTCACTACACACATGCATTGCAGGAGACACTGGGACACTGTGACTAAGAGGAGCATCACAGTCCCCGTCATTCTGTTGACAGTTTTGATGGGTTTATGTTCTGTTGTCTGCAAACAGGAACGGAATGCTTTCCATGACCACTTCTCACTGTGTGGTAACTGAGTGATTCCTATGAGGATTCACCACTGTGGGTGCTGAATCACTTCAGGGGTGGGAAATCCAAGGCCAGAATGTGCAGATTCTAAGCCTCCTTTGTTCCTTCATGCCTCAGCTTCAAGCACAATTCCAGGCCCATCAAAGGGGTATGGTACTTACTACTTCCACTAACACTAGCAATGTATGAGGATTCGGTATGAAGTGTGTGCAGGAGGGGTAGTTCATTTTGCCTGATGGTTAAGACACCACTTAGAACACCTGCATCCACGTCAGTTGGCCTGGCTCCAAAGCCAATTTCAACTTCTTTGCTAATGCGCAGTCTGGACAACAGTTCAGGAAACTGAGTCCCTGCCACAAGTGAACCTAAATCGAATTCTCAGCTCCTGGCTTGGGCTTAACCTGGCCATTGTGGGTATTTGCGAAGACCATTAGATAGAAGCATTCTTTTTCTTTTTCTCTCTGACTCTGCCTCTCAGATAAAATAGTGTTTTAAAGTTCATGAGAAAATGGAATTTAAACATTTATTTACTTCAGTGCACAAAATTCTGCAATCATGTATAGTTAGCATATAAAATTTGTTTCCATGGACTTTTCCAAAACTCCTCACAAACAGGGATTTCCAAAAACTTTTGCACCAAAAGAAGCATATTTTGTTTTCCATGAACTTTTGGAAGCACCATCACATGCACAATCAGACACTGTGAGAAAGAGTGAAATGACAAGGGAAGGGCTTCTGCCTGGGTGCTCTTAGCCCCTTCTTCCAGCTTTCACATCAGCAAGGACCTGCTTAGTAAAAACCAAAGATCACCCAGTACTTGTCTTCTAAACACTTATAGGACCTTTCCATTTTTATTTTTTATTTCCTTAATTTTACTCTATTTGAAAGGCAGAGAGACAGAGAGTGATCCTCCATTTGCTGGTTCACTCCTCAAATGCTCACAACAGCAAGGGCTGGACCAGGCTGAAGCCGGGAGCCCAAACTCATGAGTAACAGGAACACAAGTATCTTAACCATCACCTGCTTCCTCCCAAGATATACATTAGCAGGTATGGGAAGCAGGGGAGTTAGGGTTTGAATCAGGCACTATGTCAGATGCAAGGTCCCAAGTGGAGTCTTGTCTGCTGCATCAAACAACCACTCTATTTGGAACGTTTCTACCACCTCTCCACTTGGTTCTTCCAGGATCCCAGTTTATTCCTGACATGTCATTCAGGACCCAGTTCCCATGTCACCTCCCCCGAGTGGTTCTATTCACCCCAACTCTTTCCCTCCACCTTTTCCACCCTGAGTCCCTACCCAGGCATTATCTCCTCTCACTTTACTCACTACATAGCACCCCTCACTCTGATCCTTTCTGGTTTATCTACGTATGGCCTGTCCCCTCCCCCTACCCTCTCCTTTCTCTGTGGCGCAACTTCAGCTGATTTTGAGTAAGGGAATTCTCCTATCCAGTTGTAATGATTTTTTTTTCCTTTGCTTTTGAATTTGTAGCTCCTGGAGAAGAGCCTGGGGCAATGTACCACTGTATGATTGCTTAGTTTAGTAACTATTTCATGCTACCCTTCCTGGTTACCTACCATTACAGCAATCCTTTTAATCCTTGACCTGCGTTAAGTGAAAGGATTTCATAAATAACTACATCCTAATTGTGTGTAAATTGCTGCCTGTGCTATTATTATCTAATTGTGTAAGTCAAGGTCCAAGCTGGCCTCATCTTCACCCTGAAAATTATTGCTTCAGTACAGCCCTGGTGATGATAGCTGGAAGGAAACCTCACACAATGCAGAACCCTTAGTCCAGTTCAGTCCACTAGTGTTAAACCCTAAGAGTACAAAGGCAGTAAGAAAGAAGGAATGGAAACAGGAGCTGCCGACAGGAACAGAGCTGTTAGAAAACACTTGTGCAGCAGATGGAAGAGCAGCAGGAATAGAGTGCACCTGACACTTCCCACTTACTCTCACAGGAGCCCTGTGCGGATGTGATTTCCAGAGGGTGCACCTGAGCTCAGAGGATGAGGCTCTCACACACAGTTGGCGGGACACAGTTCCTAGATCCAAACTCAGCCCCTAAAGACACCAGAAACTGGCTGTCTGCTCCACCAGCCAGCCACCATGACTGATAGTCGGTGAAGAGCAAGGCCAAGTGGACCCTCCAGCAGACAACAGATTCTGGCTAGGGAAGAGAGGAAGGAGTCCCTTCCCTCCCTCCTCCCAACTACTGTGTCCACGGTGCTTAGCCCTGGCAGCAGGCAGCACCCAGAGATCTCTGCTCTCCAACCCAGTGGTGAGAAAAGGCCCTCTCACTTCCCAATTCCACAATGTACGGCATCCTGCAGCTCTTCCAGCCCCACATAGGCAAGCCTTGTCCTCAGTACCCCATGGCAGGCAGATACCTGGCTGGAGATCTAAGCGCTTGGCTGAGCTCAGGAATTCCAGATCCTTTGCCTAGATTGAGAAAGGGGGAAAAAGGGCAGAAAGATTTCTGGGAGATGCAGGAGTGAGAAAAGGGTTCAGACAGTGTGAACTTGGGCAGCTTCCTCTTTTCACCTGAGCCTGGCAGGAAAGGGGCTGCGTGTGCTGTGTATGTGAGCTTTGGGGTGAGCAATCATCCTATTGGTGCCACATGTGCCTGTGTATGCCAGGCAGTGGTGTGTGTTTATGCATCTGTGTCATCGGAACCTAATACCTCTCTCTCTCTCCGAAACACCATGTTGTTCTAGTAACTTTGGGGTTTTGTTTCTTCTTATCTGTCTTATTGATATAATGTGCATTCAGAGAAACACTCAAGTCTAAAACAGAACACTCAGTGAGTGCACAGTATACACTCACATTCCATGTTGTGCAGAAACTTTCTAGTATCCTAGCGGGCTCCATCAACTAGCGGCCCCACCTCCCCAAGCAGTCATTACTCTTCTGACTTAACTTGAACTTCACCTCCTAAATTCTAATTTACCTTCTAAACCTCATGCAAAGGGAACCAGACAGAGTATATTTTGTGTCTAATTTCTTTCCTTCATCATATCTATGAGATATGTCCATGTCATTGTACTTAGCATTGCTCTGTTTTCTACAGATCAATTCTATTCCATTGTATGAATATACCACATGTGTTTCTCTGCTCCACCAATGACTCACACTTTTTTCCAATTCTGACTTGTTACAGATAAAACTATTATGAACATTTATATACAGATTTCATGCTAGACTAGTGGACTCATTTCTCTTGGTTACATCTTGGAACAGAATTCCTGGGTCATAGGATCATATGGTAATCACGTGTTTGCCCATTAGTAATCAATTTCTAATCAATTATCTGAAATGTTTGTGCTGATTTCCATTTTTCCTGCAACCTATGAGAGTTCTAGTTGCTTCACATCTTCATCAACATTTGATTTTGTTGGTGTTTTTTTTTTTTAAGATTTATTTATTTTTATTGCAAAGTCAGATATACAGAGAGGAGGAGAGACAGAGAGAAAGATCTTCCATCGTATGATTCATTCCCCAAGTGACTGCAATGGCTGATGCTGTGCCAGTCCGAAATCCAGGAGCTCTTCTGTGTCTCCCATGCGGGTGCAGGGTCCCAGGCTTTGGGCTGTCCTCAACTGCTTTCCCAGGCCACAAGCAGGGAACTGGATGGAAAGCAGGGCTGCCAGGATTAGAACCAGTGCCCATATGGGATCCCGGCGCATTCAAGGCGAGGACTTTAGCCACCAGGCCACCACACCAGGCCCTTGTTGGAGTTTTAACTGTAGCCATTCTGGGTCTATGCAGAATATTTCATTATGGCTTGACTTTGCATTTGCCTGCTGAGTAATGATATTGAACATCTTTAGATCATTAGTAGTCACTTTGGCATCTGCCTTTGTGAAGTGCCCAAATTTTTACAGAAATATAATATCTGCAAAAATAGACAATCAATAAAAATGGACTCTAGAGCAAAATCATGTAGAGAATTCAAGAATGCACACAGCGACCCAGTAACCAGTTGTCTCTACAATGACTACCTAGTCGCAATGATTAATAAGCTAGTTGAATCAAGTCAAATTGGTAAGCAAGTCTGGTTTTCATTTTTAATCAATTATCTGGATTTAACAGGATAAAGGCAACGCAGCTGAGAACCAAGAACTGCTAATGCCAGTCTGGAGCGTCTCACTCAACTCACTGTTTTCCCTTCCATTACAGGATCCCGACAGTGATCAACCCCTGAATGGCACTGGTAAGCTCAGCTCCGCCTCCCTTGGTCCATCTCAGCCTCTGTGCTTCCGTTTCCTTGTAGATACCAAGTAAGAGGCCTGGTCCTTGAGAAAGTAGGACCGACAATCCTAAAACTCTAAGAACAGTTATGTTCCCAGTCATTCCTTCATTCAGATTTCCATGAAACCATGAGTGCCTGTGACACACCAGGCTCTTGACTGAATGCCAGGCTACCACAGTCAGACAAGCACCTAAAGTCTCTGCCATCAGAGAGTGAATGATCTGGCTGTGCTGCCAAGGAGCGAGCTGGGCAAAGGCTTGCCGCTGGGAGAAAAGAAAGCAGCAGTGCTTTTCTGACTTACAGGAGAAAAATAAGTTCATGCTTATTTCATAAAAATGCTCCCATATTTCAGGGTTTGTTTCCTCCCCTTACATTTTCCTAAACCATGTTCACCTACGCCTGTTAGTTCTCTGGATCAGCAAAACACATAATCAAGTTATAGACTAATTTGAGCAGATCCAGGCTTATCTATTTCTCAGTTCAGAGTCCCAAGTTAATAATGATCACAAACATAACTTCTTTTTTTAAAAAGATGCATTTTTTTATTGGAAAGGCAGATATACAGAGAGAAGGAGATACAGAGATAAAGATCTTCCATCTGCTGGTTCACTCCCCACAACAGCCGATCAGGAGCCAGGAGCTTCCTCCAGGTCTCCCACGTGGACACAGGGTCCCAAGGCTTTGGGTCGCCCTCTAATGCTTTCCTCCACCACAATCAGGGAACTGAATGGGAAGTGAAGCAGCTGGGAAGCAAACTGGTGCCCATATATGGGATTAAGGAAACAAACTGGTGCCCAGTGGATGCAAGGCAAAGATTTAGCCACTAGGCTATCGTGCCAGGCCCTACCAACATAATTTCTAGCAAGTAACATGGTGCCTAGCTGGAACTCTGGAATCTCATATGTCAACAGATCATGTCTCCAGGTAACATCACCTGAATACACCTGAGAATTCCCAAGCCAGAAAACCAGTCAAATTCGCAACCAGCCTTGAAGGAAGGAAAGATCCTAGCTATTCATGTGCTCAGGTGTAGTGCTATGGATCAAATCCCACCTATGAGGAAACAGTCATCAAACCCAAGTGGGCAATGAGAGCCTCAGTGAGGGCGGGAAGAGTGAATATAGGGTACTCAGGGATCAGGAAGTGAACCTGCTCATGAAGGCTCACTCGTGTCAGTGAGGCCCGGCAGTGGGAAACCGATTGGCTAGGAGAGTAAAGCCAGATCCTAGGGAGGATGCAACCCACATGTGGGACTCATGGGGGGCCCTTGTGGGCTCTCAAAGGGGAGACGAGAGGACAGAAGCAGTGTTTTGGGATACTCTGTCTAGCAGCAGTGGCCAGGACAGGCTGGAAGAAGGATAACAGCAGGTGGGAAGGCTATTAGCCCAATGGTTTCGTGAACTTAAAGTTGGTAGGAAGCCCCTTCCCTTCCTGTGAAGGGAAGCAGGTGCTCCTTGTGAGCTTCTAGGGGCTGATTCTCTCAAAACAAACCAGCCTCAAACAGAGACTCTAAGGTGGACTGTATCAACCAGTAGATTGTGGAGAGATTTCATCATGCGTGGAGTGGCGAGATCAGCAGTAATTTGGAACTGTTGAACTATTGAAACCTCATGAGCAGGACCCTCAGAGTATGCCTCACATCGGGGATCCTGGGGTGATGTCGGGTGACTATCTTCCATTCCAGGGTGCAGAGACATTTGGGAAGGTGGGTGTGGCTTCTCTCCTTGTCTCTCTCCTTCCCCCAGATATATGAAGGAAACAAAAGAGAATGCGGAAATGGTGATCTTGCCCACTTCCTGTAGACCTTGACCCTAATAAACTATGTAAAAGTCATCAAAAATAAAAATAATATAGTTTTTAAAAAACCAGTCTCTTGTCCCCCATTGTAGGTGCTCACTAAATAAATCATGCACAAATGAAAGAATAAACCTCCGTAAGGCCACAACCATGAGAAAGAGGACAGTTCAGAAGGTCGGCTGCTCCAACTCTGAAAACAGACTCAGCTCCTATTACTGACAGCCGACTCTGAGCCTAGTCCTGTTGTGTCACAGCCAACACCACAGGCAGGCAGTCCAGAGCCCCCAGTGCCCAGCCTCTGTGTCTGAGGGCAGAGTTGTCTTTTGGAGAAACACATACTTTAAGTATTGTTCGGCCAGTGGATCCATTCCTGTTAGCATCTGCTGGGCATCCATCTCCGGAAGGATGCCATTCTCTGCTGCTGAAGGCAAGGGGAGGAGATAGACCTGGATGTGATGATCCATCCTTCAAGGAGGAACTGAACAAACCACGTGAGAAGAGAGGGAAGGATTGTGCTTAAGAGAACAGAGCACAGAGCAATTCATCTGTTCTATCTGCAGCTATTTGCTCTGTTTCTACAATGGGCCAGGCATGGGTCTAGACACCAGGAACCCAGCAGGGAACAAATCAGAAAGTCCAGTCTTCACAGGAAGATGGAAAGAGGTAGGAAATAAACAAAATATGCAAAATAGAAAGCATGGTAAAGGCAATGATGTATGGTAAAGGCAAGAGTGCTTTGGGGAGAAAGGAAACAAAGCAGACAGGGAAACATTGAATTTCTTTGACTAGGGAACCATGCAAGATCATGCTAAGGTGACCCTGAAGGAAGACGAAAGAGACAGGGGAGCAGCCACATGGAGGTGAGGGGCAAGAGAGCCAGCTTGGTGCCTTCCAGGGTTGCTCCCTCCCCATCCCTCCCCAGAGGGGAAGTCCCTCAGTGCCTGCAAAAAGAGCCTCCCTCAGACACTTCCCAAGAGCTGCACCTCTCAAAGCCTTCTCCGCGTTCCATCTTCTTGCATACCCATGTGAAACGGATGCATCACTATTCTGGCATCTGCTTTAGCTTCCTATCTGGTGCCCCTAGCTCCAGACTCTTCTATTCAAGAGTCATCATTCAACAATTCCCATGACTTCTCACCACCCTCAGCATAAGGTCCATGCTGCTCTCAGAGCATCTCCACCTACAGTCAGCCAGCCCACCTGTCCACAGGCTTGGTTGTACCTTCACACCTGGGCCAGTGCTGACGTGGCACTACCACCGCTGCCACTGCCTGATTCTGCCTATATTTAAGTGCTGCAGTATCAGGAAGCTTCCCCCTGTCTTCCCAGGATGAGCCACTATGGTAGCACATCCCACCACCCCCTGGGGGATTTGGCATCTGCATCCCTGTTTACCACCCACCCAAGATATCATCTCCTTAAAGACAAAGCTCACACTGGGGACCAGCTGTGGGGGGACCTGGTTGAAGATGGAGTGATTCAGCCACAAGGATTCATGAAGTCTCTAATACTGTATTGGATGTCTCTGCCCTGCTGGAGCTCATGGTTTAATCCAGGCAGAATCTGAGAAAAGGAGATGAGAGCACAGTGAACAGGTACCCACCCAAACATAGGCCTGAGTCCTCTCCCAGGGTAGGTGCAGGTCAGGCCGCACAGGGGCAGACAAGGGGACAGGCAGCCCAGGCTCACTGAAAGAACTTATGAAGGATGCAGTTAAGCCTCATCTGCAGGAGTAACTGCCCCCTCTCAGTGTCCCCCTGCACCAGGACACAGGCATTCCTGCTGCCATGGGAGGCAGCATGGCCACAGGCTGGGGCCGGCACAGGTGCACCCAGTGCTGACCACACGCCCTTCCTCTCTGTGACTCCTGTCTCCCTCAGATGCCGCTCACTCTCCCGGCAAGCCCCGCACCTCGCTGGAGACCTTCAAAAGGGTAGGGATCCCCATCATTGCAGCACTGCTGAGCCTGGTGACCATCATCATTCTGGCTTTCCTCAGTAAGTGACAGTCCTCCTCACCCTTACCCTCTGGCTCCCACCTAGCACAGGCAAGAGCAGGAGACCTGCATGAAAACCCCATCTCTACCCCTGTTTTGAAGGAAGCCTTCTTCTAAGAGTGAAAGGGGGATGTGAACTCAGCTGCTCTCCCCCGTCCAGATGGTTGATTTCTACATGCAGACAGAGCTGCTGCAGTGGCACACCCTGTACAAACCCACGCAGGCCACGGGAGGTGAGGCACACTCCCTGCCTCCCCCTCCCGCCCCCTCTACACTGGGATCCGAGTAGAGCTGTGCAGCCCTGCTGGCTGAAGAGCTGGGATCATTTCCGCTTGCAATGAGGGGAGGGGCGGCAGCTCTGTGTTCATCATGGCCAGTGCCTGGGATGCAGAGTGCTCCTAAGTAGGTTGTGGGATCTCAAGGAAGCTTGAACTGAACAAGCAGCAATGCCCAAGTCCTGGAACTGGGATCCCATGCACAGGGCAGCTTTGCTTGATCATAACTTCCACTTACAGCACAAGGGACCCAACTAGAAACCATTCTTCCTGGGACAGAAACCTTGACTCTACTACTTGCTGAGTGACTGTAAGACCTCCAGCTCCTCGGCTGTGAGATGTTCTGCCTCCCTCGTAACTGTGAGGGCGACAGAGCTGGGACAGCCCCTCAGTTGGGCAGATCCATTTCTGTCTTGAGCGAGCAGGAGAATGTGGACTCAAGGTATAAACCCTACCCAAGTTCCCAACAGCTCCCACTGCATGTGAGATGTGCTTAATCCCATCCACTCTGTGACTTGTACTGGCCCATGCTCAAGGTGGTTTGTCCTGGGATCAGGGTCAGACCATGTTACCATGTTAAAGTGAGCTTGCTTCCTCTGGCACCGTGGAGAGAGAGAGAAGGCCATGGTTATGCAGGGAAAGCCAGGCAAGGCACAAACACAGAACTCAGTGTAGAGCTCTCCCTGCATCTCCCAATTCTGCAATCAAAGGTGGTAGCCCAGTCCTCCCTCCTGGGCTAGACTGCTCCCATCCTCCCACACACACAACCACCTCCCCACACACACAGCTCTTGGCTTCTGGGGGGAGAGGATCTTAACTGGTCTCATCTCTCTCTCCCAGGAAACTGGGGTTACCCTCCCCAACCCTGGACTCCTAACCACAACTCAAACTCCAATGCTGTAGGAAAAACCCAACACCCCCTGCTTCTCACTTGTGTCCCATGAACCTGGTGCATCAGGACCAGCAGATCACAAGCTGGAACCCGGGAGGACTCAGGCAGACCGTTAGCTGGACTGATCAAGCACTGTGTGGCCTTGGGAAGAAAGCCTGCTGCTTTTCTTCTGTTTCCCCTGTATAAGTTCATAATGACACCTGCCGCCTAAGGCGCCCGCTGGCCGTGCATGAGGAACGCCTGGGAAGCCCCTCGCTCAGTGATCACTGGGACCACTCAGTCCAGAGAAGGAAGCACCAGGCCTAGGGAGAGTCCAGATGAAAATGAGGAATCCTTCCTGCCAGCAGAATTTGGTAGTGAGTACTCACCAGGAAGAAATAGTTAAGTGTCTGATAAATGTGTGAGTTTAAAAAAAAAAAAAACAAAACCAGGCAGCATCACACACTGAGGAGAGTGGTGCTTGGGCAGCAAAACAGGACAGAACACCAGCCTCCTCATGCGTCTTTCAACCCCAGGTTAAAAGACCCTAGAACCTTACTTACTTGTTACAAGGCACTTTCCTAACTACCAGCTTTCTACATGTTCCCCCGAGGCGGCATTATCAGCCACTGGACACAGGAGGAAGGGCAAGGGATTGGTGTGAAATTGCACGAACACAGAGTTGGGACTCAGAATACGGGCAGGACTCCACATCCCCTGTTCTGTATCCTCCACCATTAGCAGAGGGCCCTGAGCCAGCACTTGGAGTAAGAGTTGGCTAGGGCCTATTTCTTTCTTTTTTTTTTTAATATTTATTTATTTTTATCAGAAAGTCAGATTAACAGAGAGGAGGAGAGACAGAGAGAAAGATCTTCTGTCCGATGGTTCACTCCCAAGAGGCCGCAATGGCCGGAGCTGAGCCAATCTGAAGCCTCAAGAGCTGGAAACTCTTTCTGGTCTCCCATGCGGGTGCAGGGTCTCAAGACTTTGGGCCGTCCTCGACTGCTTTCCCAGGCCACAAGCAGGGAGCTGGATGGGAAGCGGGGCTGCTGGGGGGTTAGAACCGACGCCCAAATGGGATCCCAGTGTGTTCAAGGTAAGGACTTTACCCACTAGGCTACCGCGCCAGGCCCTAGGGTCTGTTTCTAAATCCACCCTCCTGCAAACAACTTACACATATATACACATTCACATGCATATTCTCACACACACATGCACACACTCATTTGTATGCACATACACATTTGCATACACACCCACATTTGCATACATATACACTCACATTTGTGTGCAAGCACACAGTCCTACTCAAATACTCTCATACTTGATTCCTCAGCCCTCTTGGAGGCCTGGGGCTAGTGATTTTTACCTGCACTCTACACACAAGCCATCTGGGGCCCAGCACCCAATGAACCTGCTACTGAGTGGCAGGACAGGGCCTGGACCCCACACGTGCCAGTCTCCACCTGGACACTGTTCTCAGGAGCCTCTCCATGTCAGGGGCTGCCCACCTGACCCTCGGCCCTCCACGCCTCTCCTTGTTCTTGCCTTCCAGTCAAGGTGATTCTGGATAAGCATTACTTCGTCTGCGGGAATCCTCTGCGCTTCATCCCGAAGAGACAGGTGTGTGACGGCCAGATGGACTGTGGCTCCGGGGAGGATGAGGAGCCATGTGTCAAGGTCATTCCTGAGCAGCCCACTGTGACAGGTGAGTCCAGGGATGGAGGCACAAGGGGGGGGGTGCCACAGGAAACTGCCTCAGGTTCCTGGCCCTAGTAGAGTGTCAGTTTCTACTGCTTAAAAAAAAAAAAAAAAAAAAAAAAAAAAGATTGATTTATATTATTTGAAAGGCAAAGTTACAGAGGAAAAAAAAAGGCGGAAGACAGTGAGATCTTTAACCCACTGATTCACTCCTCAAAGTGACCACAACGGCCAGGGCTGGGTCAGTCTCCAACCAGGATAACTCCATCTGGTCTCTTACATGAGTGCACAGACCCAAGCACTTGAGCTATCCTCGGTTGCTTTTCCAGGAGCGTTCGCAGGAAACAGGATTGGAAGTGGAGCACCTGGGATTCAAACCACTGCTCATACGAGATGTTGTTATCACCGATGGTGGCTTAATCTAATGGGCCACAGTGCTGGTCCCTGCTAAGATTCTTTAGATCACACTCATGTCTTGTCTTCCTTGAGATCCCAGCACTTAACACCCAGTGCCTATATGACAAACACATGTGGACCACAGCAGACCCTGCACCTGTCCCATTGCTACTGCACCCGGTTGGTCTTGAGAAGGAGTACATTGGGATACCTTAAGGAATCCCTTATTTTTGTGAGATCAGAGATTAGGATTGGTGTTGGGTATATCAAGTTAGTGCCAGCATCCCACACAGGTGCTTGCTGGGATCCCAGCTGCTTTATTTGAGCTCTGACGGAAGCTGGCTGGTCCCTACCCTCCAACTGACCCACATTCCTCTCCTTCTAGTCCGCCTCTCCAAGGACCGATCCACCCTGCAGGTGCTGAACTCGGCCACAGGGAGCTGGGCCTCTGTCTGCTTTGACAACTTCTCAACGTCTCTGGCAAAGGCAGCCTGTGGGAAGATGGGCTACAGCAGGTACCCACCCTCAGCATCCAGTGGCTGCCCCTCACCCCTGGCAACCTGCTCTTTCTCCCTGCCTCTTTCCTCCTCCTTCCATTCCTGTCTTCCTCCTTCTTCCCTAAAAATAAGAGAGTCACGGAGAACTGTCAGAGAATCCCAGTACTTTCACTTACCAGCAAGATGAAGCTAAATCACTTAAGCTTCAACTTGCTCAAAACATAATTAGGAGAAGAAATGCCCATCTTACAGGGTGATGGAGGGATCCGTGAGAGAATGTATGCTGCCCCCTCTGACACAGGGACACACACACGTGCTCACATGTGTTCACATTCAAGTGCACACACAGTCACATGTCACACATACATGCTGTTATGCACACACTTTCATGCATGCTCTCGCATATGCTAATACACTCACACATGCTCTCACACACACTCTCACCCACATTCATGCAATCACCTACATGGTCTCACACATACACATTCACAGTCACATACATGTTTGCACACACTCACATTTGCACACACTCACATCTCCATGCTGGCACACGCACACAAAAATATCAGCTCCTTTGCAATCCTCCCCCTGCCTCTATTCCGCAGATCTTTATCATGGCTTTGCAGGAAGTTGTCCAGGCCCAGTTACACAGTAGCACAGCTTCCCTGTTGGGAATCTCATTGACTCAAACACAGGGTCCATGAGCCAGCCAGTGGAGCCCTTCCCCAGCAGGGTCCCACCCCAGTGACCCCCGTGCTCTCAGCTGCTGGTTTCAAAAGCAGCTCCAGCTGGGGAGTGGCTGTGCAGGACTATTAGTTCTAGGAAAGGCAAGTGGCATGCTAGAGAGATAATTAACATTCCCGGTCTCAGTGCAGAACCAAAAGTATAGCTGGTGTACTCTGCTTCCCTAACGGGCTCTGAGCACGCTGATAGGATAGCAGCTGGAAGGAGAGGGCTGGAACGGCCCAAGACCCCAGATTCCTAGATACCAGGTGTCTCTTGCCTGTTCTTAGCTTACACAATTTCGTCTTCTCTCAGAGCCTTTGTCTTTAAAGGATGGGGAAGTGGGACAGCTAATGAGAGAGCTCCCTGGAGAAGGTGGCAAAGAGCCTGAGGTGCAGAGTTAAGCAAGTGAGCCCGGAGACCAGACAGAAACAAGAAGCATGACGGCAGACATCACCAGTCAATTGCAGAACTCTCCTGCCTGGGCCCCTAAGGCGGCCTCAGTGTGTTCCGCTGGACACAGCTAATGCAGGCCCAAGCCCCCCTTTTCAACAAATGCTCCCAGCAACCAGGCCCCCAGCCCCTGACCCCTTCCTGCAGCTATCAGTTATCAGGCTTCTACTATTGAGTAACCTCCCTGGGGCAGAAGGGCTCCCCTTCCACCTTCATTCTAAAGGAGAAATTGGAACGTTCTCCTGGCACCTGCTCACCCCCGCTCGACCTGCAGCTCCCAGCCCAGCCTGACTGGAGCTAGCACCATAGGCTGAGGCCTGACCTTCAGAACCAGCGACTGGGGCTTCCAGGTCGCTAAGCTCCCAAAGCTCTCTTAAGCCCCAAGCCGTCTGATTCTTGATTCTTGGGCTTTATGCAAGTTTGATCTGAATTATTCATCGAAAAGGAATTGCTGAGCCAAATTAAACAATGCTGGGAACAGCCACTTTCTCTTGCTGGGGCTTGTGTTTCCTCAATTTGCTTCCCATCAGCTGGGGGACCAGGCAAACCACAGGTGGTATCAGGCAGAAGAGGTCCGAGGGACCACCTGTTACCCATCTGTTTGCAGAGGAGACCCAGGCTTGGACAATGTGACCAAGTCGGAGAATGTGACCAAGTCGGAGAATGTGATCTCTTAAGCTCATATATTAAACCAGTGTGAATGCCAGGAGAAGAGCCAAGGTCCTGACATCTCTTCCACCAGAACCCAGTCCTCCCAGTCCTGCCTATGGGTTCACCCACGCAGGGCTAGCATACATCACTCAATCAGGGTCATGGTTTGGTCCTGGACCTCCATAAAGAGCATAGGACATGAGGGTGGAATGGAGAAGAAAGGCAAGAGGGAGATACAATAAAGGTACAATCCAAGAGGTAGGATTCATTAGGAAGGCTTGTGGAGGAGGGGAAACTTAAACCCAAGATCTAAAAGGAAAAAAAAAAGACGTACTTGGATTAGTAAGAAAAGGGAGGAAAGTGGCCCAAGCAAGGGAAGCACCTGATGCAGGAAAGACTGATGCAGGCAGGTCCTATCTGGGGGAACTGAGCCTGTCCCCTCGCCAGCAAAATCAGACCAGACACCTTGCTTGGAAAATCTGATTCCCACATTCCAGTTCCCTCCTGGATAAGAAGCGAGCTCCTCTGGTCCCCTGTGTCTGGCTGTGAGCTAGAAGGGACCTCGGGGACATGTGAAATATAGAAAGAGCTGGAAGCTGGGACAGGGGAACTTTAATGTTTCTCCAGGATTCTGAGCTTGGAGTCTGGAGTTCTTGCCCAAGGAAGCAAGGCTATGCCCACTCTGCATCTGCAACTGAATCCTGGAGTATCAAGGGAATGTCTTTCTTATACAGCCAAACAGACCTCAACACCCTGGGCCAAGGTCCATCCCCCCCCCCATCCGCGCGTGTGCACACACACACACACACATACACTCACACCTGCCACTCCCCACTGCCATTCTCTGTCACCCTCTCTCCTGGGAGTGGGACCTCATTTTGGTCTTTTGCCCAGCTCACCACTCTCTTTCTCCCTCCTGATAGCACCAGCAAACCCACTTTCCAAGATGTAAAGATTGGCCCGGGCCAGCGTCTGGATGTCGTTGGAGTCACAGAAAACAGCCAGGAGCTTCAGGTGCAGAACTCAAGCAGGTGGGTGCCGGGGCCTCCTCTGATGCCATGAAGCTGACCTGGAGCCACTGACTGCAAGGGGAATGCAAGGCAGACAATGGGGCAGCTCCCAGGCATGGCAAGAACTACAAAGGCACATTTTTTCAAGGTACCCTGGGGGACAGCTGGGCGAAGCCTGGCCACAGGAATGGATAAAGGCATCTGTCCTTCATCAAATGTAAAGCGATGCTTGGGTTACTGCCCTAGGTGCCCTGGTAAGCTACAGAGTAGGCAAGACTCCAAAGTCACTTTGTCCTTCCCCAGGCCAGGCCAGCAGCCCAGCACCCTAGGGCAGAGATCCTAGGTCCTTGTCAAGGTCCCATTCTCCTAGCTAACCACCCTGCATTAGGGTACAGCATTGAGACACTGCAGCGAGGTGGCTCCGAGACGATGCAGTCAAGGGCTACTTACTGGTCAAGGAGCCGAGCTGAAAAGGAACAAGTTTGGCAGCACAGTGAGCACTGGGCCAAATCCCATCCAAATCCCATCCAAATCCCATTCTTCCACCAGGAAATCCAGCAGACTGTCCCAGGCTCTTCTTGCCTTTTGCTTAGGCTTCTAGGTACTCAGAGGGCCCAGCTCCCCAGCAGTGAGGGCATTGGAACTGGTCCCATGGAACTGAATGCTGATGTAATTGTTACGCAGTCCTCAGGGGTCAAAATCCTCATTTCCCAGATCCCGGGTCCCAGAGAGGGTGGAGGGGCTGGAATCAACACTGCCAGATGGCTAGAGGCCCTGCTGCCCAGGCTACTGAGGAGCAGAACCCACAGGGAGGGCTCTGGTCTCTCTTCCAGACCCTGTCTCTCAGGCTCCCTGGTCTCCCTGTCCTGCATCAGTAAGTACACCACATCTCTGAGGGTTTGGGGCTGGGACCAGCCAGGAGTGAAGAGGGAAGGCTTTCCTCTTCCTCCTGGATTTCTGACTCCAAGTTCCAGCTTGTTGGAGTCTGACCTTCTGCATTCGTCAGTTTTGTAGGTCACTGCCTGTTGAGCGGGGCTGAGGCTGTGAGCAGCACACAGCCCAGGCCTGAAGCAGAGACCTGGGAGTGAGAGTTGGGAGACGGTGCAGTGCAGCACTGGGTGCCAAACCTGGTCAGGACACACAGCCTCATTTGTCACCACCTGCTCAGGGATCCATAGGCTGAGCAGACTCCCAGCAACTGTCTCCTGTCAGGTCCTGGTCAGAGGTAGAAATACCCAGGAAAGTGAGAGGATTGACCCCTGTTCCATCAGGAGGGAGAGATGCAAGACGCATGGAAAATGCTAGGCTGAGCAGGAGTCACAGACGGCATGTCACAGAGAGAGCTAGACCAGGGTCTGGCCATTCACTCCCAGCACGACATTGAGCGATACACCTCACCTCTGTGAGGTCTTTCCAGTAAGGCCCCCAGGGTGCCTGTATAGCCCATTAGAGGAGCAAGAGTTAAAATATTTCAGAGAATGCAGAGAATATGATGCAGAGTTCAGTGGGCAGCACTGATTTTTAACATTGGACCCCTACATGTATGTCAGTGTATGAAGCCCACATACATGTTGTAAAGGAGCTTGCTGACAGAGGGCACCCACAGGGCTGTGAGTAAGCGGGCTACCTGTCATGGAGAAGCTAGCTTGAAACCAAGTGGTTGTGAAAAGCCCCTGCCCAGCACACTGCCTGGCACTGAGGTAAGGGCACCTGCCCTAGCCCCTCGGAAAGACCCCGTGCAGGGACAAGCACCAGGAAGGCAGGGAAGCAGAAGGGAGGTGGAACTGAGGATCTCCCTCGGCAGGGAGAAGGAAGTTGAGGAAAGGTGGGTTTGGGATGGGAAAACCCAGTTTCTGGAACGTTCTTCCCACTTCCGGGTCCCCAGGCAGCTTGTGGGCGTGTGTTTACCGTTACTCCATGGGAGCGGCTAGGGACACTCCACTTGGGCAGGGCTTTCATAGTTCTGCTGTTTGTTTTGAAGGTCACAAATTCCCAGCAAGCTGGGCAACACCCAGGTTCAGAGCCTAAACTCTTAGACATGTCCAAAGCCCCAAAACAGAGAGAGAGGCTTGGGGAGCAGCCTGTGGTCTGGGAACGCTAAGAAGCTCCATAAATGATTCAGAACTGGCACGGTCCACCCCAGGCCCTGGGTGCCAGTCACTGGACCCACCTACCCGCCCAGGGCCTGATTCCCTGCTTCCCCACTTCCCCCTCCCTCTACCTCCACATTACCTCACCTCCCTCACCTCCAACCACCCTGACCCTCCCCCTACTCCCACTGCTTCCTGCCTCCAGACTGCGGACAGAGCTCCAAGTCACCTCGCGTGGTGGGCGGGGAAGAAGCCTCCATGTACTCCTGGCCCTGGCAAGTCAGTATCCAGTACCAGAAGCAGCATGTCTGTGGGGGCAGCATCCTGGACCCCCACTGGATCCTCACAGCAGCCCACTGCTTCCGGTAAGGTCCTCCACTACAAGGAAGCCCAAAGGGACCAAGGTCATGGGGGAGCCCATGGTTTGTTTTTTTTTTTTTTTTAGCTAAGATTTATTTTTATTGGAAAGTCAGATATACAGAGAGGAGGAGAGACAAGAGAGAAAGATCTTCCGTCCGATGATTCATTCCCCAAGTTAGCACAATGGCTGGTGTTATACCAATCCAAAGCCAGGATCCAGGAACTTCTTCCAGGTCTCCCACACGGGTGCAGGGTCCTAAGGCTTTGGGCTGTCCTCGACTGCTTTCCCAGGCCACAAGCAGGGAGCTGGATGGGAAGTGAAGCTGCCGGGATTAGAACCGGCGCCCATGTGGTATCCCAGCGCGTTCAAGGCGAGGACTTTAGCCGCTAGGCCACGCCACCGGGCCTGGTTTGTTTTCTAATACTCCCCAGCCTGAACCCCTGTCGGCACCATTCTCTCTGTGGACCACGGCCAAGGTGTAGCCCCACAGTTAGACACTGGCTATGGTGCTCTCTGTTAGGCAGTGGGATGCTGGTCCCTCCACTTGACTGCTGTCCAATGGGAAGCCAGGAGACACTCAAGAGCTCTTACCTCACCGTCATTCACTCCCTGAAACTTCAAGCATTCATTCCCTCCCTCTAACAGGAAGAGGTTGCGGAATCTGACATCACTGGTACTTTCTCAGTACATCCAGAAACAGAAAAATTAGGACACATCGATTCCCTTCCAGTTCAGCAGAGAGAAACCTGGCCACACCTCCAGGGAGGGCCACATGCAGACCCTCCTCACCTTCGCTTATTCATCCAGCATCCAGTGTGTACCGACAGGGTCCCAAGCTCCAGATGTGTGCCCAAGTACAGTGCTCAGAACCCCCTGCTGCCCTCAAAGGGCTCATGGTCTAGGTCAGTGGTTCTCAGCCTGTTTCGAGACCTTGAAAAGAGCAACATGTCCTTGCCTGAAAACGCCACCTGCCGGTGTGTCTGGTGTTCAAATAAACATGAGGACACAATGAAACTACCCATGGCGTAAGCGCTATGGGAGCCTGGTAGAGCAGATAAAGAGCGATGGAGAAGACGGTGCCAAGGCACCCGGTGCTCAGGTTCAAGAACAGCACTTCCCCCAGGCCTCCAAGGAGAAGTTCCTCCTATGGAACCTGACTCCGCCCCTGTCCCACCATCAAGTCACAACCAGCATCCCTGTCCTGTGTCACAGCTGGAAACACAGTCTTTGATGACACCACCCAAAGCGTGGCTCGGGACCCCAATCCAACAGTCTCTGTCCCCAGGAAGCATCTTGATGTGGACAACTGGAAGGTGAGCGCTGGCTCAGAAAAAGTGGACCACCTCCCCACCCTGCCCGTGGCCAAGATCTTCGTCACGGAGTACAACACCACATACCCCAAAGAGAATGACATTGCCCTGGTCAAGCTGCAGCACCCGCTCACATTCTCAGGTAAAAGTGTGGACCTGGGAAACTGGGGTCCCCCAGTGCCCTGGGGCTCTCCATACCAGCTGCAGGTCCACTTTGTTCCTTCTACCACCTCAGTCCTCCCACTCATTTCCATCCAATGCAGTGAGGCCACCTCCAACTGTGCACCGACACCTCACACTGCCCCCTGCTGGAGATTTTCGGAAACTCCCTTTTCTCTGGCCCGGCTAGAGTGGGAATCACAAATTCCTGCAATCCTGGAATTTGAAGGGACTTTAAAAAAAAATCATCCAGTCCCTCACCTGAAAGCCATGCTTAGGAGCCTCTTGCTCTCCTCCCAAGACAAGCAACTCCTCATCTTTCAAAAATAAACATCCTTTGTGTTTTTGTTAATGAAGTGTGCTTTTTAAAAAATATATTTATTTTTATTGGAAAGTCAGATTTACAGAGAGAAGCAGAGACAGAGAGAAAGATCTTCCGTCTGATGGTTCACCCCTCAAGCGGCTACAACAGCTAGAGCTAACCAATCCGAAGCGAGGAGCCAGGAGCCTCTTCTGGGTCTCCCACGCTGGTGCAGGGTCATTTGGGCCATTCTCGACAGCTTTCCCAGGTTATAAGCAGGGAGCTGGATGGGAAGCAGGGCTGCCAGGATTAGAACTGATGCCCGTATGGGATCCTGTCACATGCAAGGCGAGGACTTTAGCTGCTAGGCTGCAGTGCCAGGCACATGACATGTGCTCTTAAAAGATCTTTTTTTTAATGTTAATTTTATTTGAAAGGCAGATCTCCCAAATGCCAGTTCACTTCCCAAATGCCTGCAACAATTCAGGGCTAGGCCAGCAGCTCCATCCAGACCTCCCACATTGGAGTGGCAGGGACCCCAAGTGCTTAAGCCAGCACCTTCTCCCCCTCAGGGTATGCCTTAGCAGAAAGCTGGATTGGACACAGGCAAGAGCCTGGATAGGATGTCAGCATGCTGATGTGGGATGCAAATAACACAAATAGTATCTCAACCACTGACTGAGCCAAAAGCCCTCTCCAGGACCCATTACTTTTAAGATGACCTGTGAGTCTTTGCTCCGTTTGACACTGAGTGATTAAACTGTGTATGATTACAGTTGGCACTCCCCACTGTAGATTCCACAGGACAGTGGTCACTTGGCAAATTAAGTTTGGGAAACATTTCCATACCAGAGCTGCCTTCTCAAAGTTTTTACTAAAAGTGTGCAATGCTTTTCAAAACTTTTCATGGTTTCAGCCTGTATTTCACACCACCCTGATAGCATCCCATAGAGCAATGGTAAAGGAGCCCTAAATGGTGTGGCCCTTCCAGAGGGCTCAGCTGCCAGGCGCTCCTGAACCCTGGCGCTGTTTCAGAATTGGTGTCTGGCATGTGCTTTACTCAGGTGTGGTAAGGTGACTAACTTGGAAGCACCTTTATGAGGAGAGAGAGAAGGGGACACATCAGGTCTCTGTCATTACTGAGGTTTCCATGGAGAGGATGGGCAACGCCAATGGGAAAGTGTGTGTGAACCGGGATTGTGTAGTGTGAGGAGCTATCTGGGTTCTGGAGGTTGGGCTAGTCCCTGACTCTGGGGTGGTTTAGGAAGGGGTGTAGGGGATGGGTCCAAGCAAGGGGCAGTTAGGACTGTAGGCTTTGCCTGGGTCAGTTTGCACACCGAAGGCGTCCTCTTGCACAGCTGCTTCCTAACTCTGGGACTTAACCAACCAAATCTCTCCCAGACCAGCATGATCCTCCTCAAGAATTAACCTTGAGGTTAAGCACAGAATAGAACCTTCAATAACACATTAACTCTCTCTTCCTCTCGGCTTCTGGCAGATACAGTCAGGCCCATCTGCCTGCCCTTCTTTGATGAGGAGCTCCCTTCAGCCACACGACTCTGGGTCGTAGGATGGGGCTTTACAGAAGATGGTGGAGGTAAGTCCTGAGTTCAGGACCAGAGGGCAGGAAAGGCCCTTGTATGAAGGTGGTGGGAAGGAGGATCATCCCTCCGGAAAATACATCCTGGAGGACCAAGCTCCAAGGTGCCAGGCCAAAGCAAAGTGAAAACAAAATGCAAAACTTTCATGTGTGTCTGTGTCTGTGTCTGTGTCTGTGTCTGTGTCTGTGTGTGTGTCTGTTTTCAATCTCCCAGGGAAGATGTCGGACATGTTGCTGCAGGCGTCCGTGCAGGTTATCAACCACACACGGTGCAATGCAGAAGATGCCTACCAGGGGGAAGTCACCGATACCATGCTGTGTGCAGGCATCCCAGGAGGCGGCGTGGACACTTGCCAGGTGGGGTCTCCAAGAGTCATGGGGAGTTCTGTGGGGAAGGGACAAAGGCCTGAAGGAGGTACAAAGACCCGGAGGCTGAAGGCCCCATATGGTTTCTCACTGTGTGATGACAGAAAGAGGGAAGAGAGAGATGGAAGGAAGGAAGGAAGGAAGGAAGGAAGGAAGGAAGGAAGGAAGGAAGGAAGGAAGGAAGGAAGGGGAATGAGGGAGGGAAGGAGAGAGAAAGAGAGGGAGGGAGGGAGGGAGGGAGGGACAAGGAAGGAAGGGAGGGAAGGACAAGGAAGGAAGGGAGGGAGGGAGGGAAAGAGGAAGAAAGGGAGGGATGAAGGAGGGAAAAAGAAAGAAGGAAGGAAGAGAGGGAGGGAAGGAAGAAAGGAAAGTAGGAAGGGATGAAGGAAGGGAAGGATGGAGGGAGGGATAGAGGCCAGTAGAAATTTAAGAATGAGTGGATGAATGGACAGATGTGTCTAGGGATTGGGGCAGATGAGCAGAAAGATATCAACTTCATACACAAAGATGACATGACACTAGAGAACCCATCTCATGTTGGATGCACCCTGCTGCATGTCCCTTCACCCTACACGACCAACCACCAGAACTGCTTGGCAATTTCTGCATCTATTACCACCACCCCATACCACTAGAGGAGTTTCTAAAACATTTTCATGAGAACTTCTATGCCCTTTCCACTACATATCTAGACATTCAATTCCTTCATCCAAGAGGTATCCCCTAGCCATCTCTTGTGTGCTGCAAACATGATGAGGTTTAGGGACAGATTCTGCCCTCAGCAAGCTCACAGCAATAGAAGTGCTAGAAGGGAGGGTGGGGGTGTGTTAACAGGCACTCATGCCGTAGAGCTTAAGGATTTGCATGGAGGAAATCAGTGAGAAGGGCACCCCAATAAAAGCACCCTCCACTCTGACATTTTCTTATCGTTCTGTCATGCACTCTATTGCCCATCTCTTTCCATTGATACTAAGCTTCCTGAGGGCAGGGATTTTTGGTTTTCTCATTCACTGAATCCCATTGCCTAGACTGTTCCCTGACACAAAAGAAGTACTCTGTAAGTGGGCAACTACACTTGAAAACTGCCGAGTTAAACAAGGATAGCCAGACTCCTGCAAACCCTGGGAGCCTCCAATGAGTTGGCATGAGCTGTGAATTCAGTGACTCTCAGAGAGGGGCTAAAAGCACATAACAGCCCACCTGACCACAGACAGGCTCCCAGAAGATGGAGGCACAATATGAGCAGGGACAGCCGGGCAAGGGAGGCAGGGGTGAAAAGCACTAGGGAGCACTAGGGAGCACGGAGGAATCCACAGGCTGGTCTATGGAGGGGGCGGGGAGCAGAAGCCCACTCCCCAGCCTCCCTCCCCCAGCAGCCTCTGTACTGGCTTCTCACAGGGTGACAGCGGTGGGCCCCTGATGTACCATTCTGGCCAGTGGCAAGTGGTGGGCATCGTGAGCTGGGGTCATGGCTGCGGGAGCCCAAGTACCCCAGGAGTGTACACCAAGGTCGCCGCCTATCTCGACTGGATCTATAATGTCAGGGAGGTGAGTGTCCTCCCACTGTGCCTTCTCTCCCTCCCTCCTTTCCTCCACCCTGGGACTACTTACTAAACCATCCTCAGCTGGGACTTCAATGTCTCTGAAAAGGTTTCACGTCCTAGTAGCTTTCCCTCCTAGCAAGCAAGTAACAGCTTGAGAGTCCACCATAAAAGTCAGGCATGCCATGAAGGATAGGGGCTGTGCAAAGTTCTTCCACTATTTATTTCCTAATAGAATGAGACTATCAGGACCTCTCCAGAGAGAAGATTCCAGAGTCTTTCTGGCTCCAAAGCGGGGAGAGCATGAGCAGAAACCTCTGAGGAAGGAAGATGAACTTTGCAGCCATCACCACAGAGTCCCGTCACAAATTACTTGTCGTTCTCTCCCTCTGCAGTCCGAGCTGTAACACCGCTTCCCCTCTGCAGTGCTGGGAGCCACTTTCTCTCCCAGACCCCCTTGGGGATCAGACAGAAGACTGACAAACAGCAGGAAGAGACCTCCGAGACTGGCCTCTCTGCCCACAACCTCAGCACAGCTTCAGACAGCTCTGCGTTGTATAAGAGACACCCAGAGCTCAGAGGCACCTGAAGAAAGTCGTCAGTTCCAGGTCAGCCTCCACCTGCAGACATGCAGCATGCTAATCGGGGTCGGTCTGGGAAAGAACTCTCCAGACCATGGACTTGAACCACATAAGGTCAGAGCTGAGGAGGAAAGGGTGTGGAGCAGCCTCTGCTTCTCCACTCCTCCCCAAGCCTCCTGGAACAAGGTGCTGGTCGTGATGGCACTGCACCACTGTGGGTGCCACTACTGTTACCTCCTGTGTTACTATTGTTACTCTATTGTACTATTATTAAACGGGTGTGAAATGGTCGACATAGGCTGGCTGACTCCTGAATGAGAACCAAGTTAGGTCTATTAAGCCTCCAGTTGGGGGCCTGTAGAGGAGAAAGTCCTGGGAAGGCACTTGCTTCTCAAAATAGAGACAAGGGGAAGGGGGTATGGAGACCAGATCTGCTAAGTGGGGCAACAGGGAGCTGTAAGCTGGAAGGAACCAGGGGCACAACCTCCATCCCACAGGGACCTTCCCCATGCCCTTCATGCCTGTGATGTCAGTCATAGGCCAGGAACACATGCAGCTTGGCTTGGGAGGGAATGATACTCAGTAGGTGCTCCTTGAGTAGCAAGAAGGAGATATTGCACCAGAGAATCCCCAAGATGGAGAAGGAAAGGGTCACCCCACAGGTCTGAGGTAGTCCCCCAGCTGAACACTCAAATGTGGATAATCTGCACTCAAAACAGTTGCAGGACCAAGCTTCATGATGCCTCTGACAGCATGTGGAGGCCCAGGACTTATACATCTACTCATTAATGGTTTAATGGGTTCTTGACCCAGCCCTGGCTATTGTGAACCCTGGGTAGTGAATCAAGATGGAAGATCTCTCTCTCTCTCTCTCTCTCTCTCTCTCTCTCTTTCCCCATTTCCTCTCTATCACTCTACCTTTCAAATTAATAACTACTTTGTTTTTAAAATTCTGACAAGCTAGGAGTAATATGATAATCTGAGAATAATAAACTAAAGATTGTCCTAGGGACAAAGACCTGCAGAGTATGATCAAAACTAAACCTGGACCCCCTCCCAACAAGGGTGCTGAGCTTGGGGCTCCCATGTAGAAGGGAGATGAGTGAAGGGGTGGCAGACCCTCTGGAGGAAAGCATGCCCCTGTTCAGAATCTCAGAGCTATGGGCCTAGCCTAGCTGCTTCAGAGCTGCTGGGCCATCTTGGCTAAGGTGGCCAAAGCACCAAATCGGCATCAGGCTCTGCCACTGGATCCCCCCCCTCCCACCCTTTTCCCAATCTTTCTATTCCAACCATACTTTCACAACCCATTACCTTCCCCTACTATACTTATCTTACAACCACATCTTTCCCCACCCCCTCTCCCCATCCCCATCCTACCTCCCTTTTCATCTTCCATTATCAAATTTTTTCTCTTCATTCCTAAATCCATTAACTCAATCAACCTTCCCCCCCATTCTCTACTTCTCATTAATAACACAAACGACCCTCTCACCCCCCCTATCCCACCCCATCCCCACTATCCCTCAAATTATTTCCCATAATCTCTCAGCTCCACATTACATCCATACATCCCCTTTTCATTTACCCCAAATAACTTCCTATCCCACCCCCTCCTCCCCTCTCCCCCTCATTTTAACTCACCATTTCACCTTCCCCACCCCTATTCCCAACCCCCCTACCCCCATTTACTCACCCTATATTTTATTACATTTCACAAAAATTATATCCCCATCACCATACCCCCCTCCCTTACCACTTTCCCCCTCCCCTTATTTTCCTCACCCTCATCCTCCACATCCATTTCCACACCCCACTTATATTATTTTCCTTCATTCCCGCCACCAACCCCCTTCCCCCCCATTCTTTTCTTCATAATCTCTTCCCTCTCCTCATTCCATACATACAACCAATTATCAATTCACATTATTTTTCCCCTATTTCTCCCCATCTCCCCACCCACCATTCACCAATACCATATTAATTTCCATCACCCTCCACTCTTTTACATTCCAATCATTTCGTTACCTCCCCACACCTTTCCAATATTATTTAATTAATATGCCTTTTTCCATCCCTTTCTTTCCCCTCCCCCCACAACCCCCACCTATATCCATCATTCACCCCGTCTCTCTATCCTTACCTCCCTTCTTCTTTTACCCCCATCTTTATTCCCATCTCATTCTTCTCTCCCTCCACTCTCTTTCCCATCATCAGCACCCACCAGTGAGAGTTGGGACTGGGCGCTGGCTAAGTCAGGCCAGGCTGCAGAATCCGAAGGTAAAGGCAAAGAGAAATGAGGGACTGTGGCAGGCTGGGTCAGACAACCACTGGCATGCACGAGACCTGTGGATGGAACAGGCCTGGTTGGGAAACAAAGGGGACGTCGTGGGCGGGGTGTGATTCCCATTGGTGAATGCGAGAGCCACCGTGGGGGTTGCAGTCTGGTCTGGATATGGCTGCAGGATCCCTTGGCATGGGTGTGGGCTGAGTCTGGGATGCACCAGAGTGGGCTAGACTCCAGCACCCACTGGTGCTTGTGAGATCAAGGGTGGGTGTAGGACAGGCTAGGTTAGATCTCTACTCCTGTTGAGCCATGCATGAGCTGTGTCTGGGTGCACACCAGGTTTGGTTGGGCTGTAACACCCAATAACAAGAACTGGAATGGGTGAAGGCTGGTCAGGAAAGGCCATTGTGCCTGTGGGACAGGAGGTAGACTAAGTAGGGCTGGCCCATGGAACCACCAGTGTGCGCGAGATCTGGCATTAGGAGAGACCCTCTGTCGGGGCACATTCCCTGCAGGTGAGGGCAAGAGCCAAGATGGGGAACAGCCCAGACCAAGCCAAAATACGGTACCACTGGCACACATTTGGCACAGGTCAAGAGCAGATCAGGCTGAGTCAATTCATATCACCTTCTGGCAAATCTGAGAGTCAGAATGGAGCGTGGGTCAGGCCGGGTTGGGACACAATACCAGTCAGTCCACATTAGGGCCGGGACTAAGGGCTGGCAGGGCCGGGCTAAGCTGTAGCCTCCACCAGTGGGAGCTGAAATTGGGGGCGGACCAGGCCATAGTACCCACTGGCAAATATTGAGGTGAGGAAGGTTGCGCCAGACTGAGCTGCAGCACCCAAACAACACATGAGAAACCTGGGTGGTGGTGGGGATGGACCCAGTGGGGAGGCTGCAGGGGCCCCCCATTGGGCCACTACTCCCACTGGTGAGCATGAGAGCTGCAATGGGGGCAGACCAGGCCAGGCAGGGCCACAACATTTGATGGCTTACATGTGAGCTGGATCAGGGAAAAGCTGGGCTGGGCTGACTGTACCTTATGGTACATGCATAAGCCAGAGTGGCAGTGGGTGGGTTGAGCTTTGCCACAGCATCAGCTGGCAAATGCTGGCACAAGGAGAAATTCTGTCAGGTGTAGGCATGGCTAGACAGATGGTGGCACCCACTGGCACCAGTGTGGACTGAATAGTGGGGCTGGTTAGGATGAACTGGGTTTTGATGCTCATTGATATGTACAAGAACTGAATGGAATATGGGCAGACAGGACCAGTCAGCTATACATACTGGCAAGCACGGGAACCAGGTTTGAATATGTGGTAGGCAGGATTGGGCTGGACTCCAGCTCCATTGGTTTGTGTAAAACACAGGGCAGGAGACAAAACTTACCCAGGAACTGCAAGTACCGTGTGTGCGTAGGCTGATTTGGATGATGGACTATGCCAGACCCTGTACTGGCCAACACACACAAGAATCAGGTCTGGGATAGCCTCAGATGAGGTTTCTGTGGTGATTCCCTATCAACTGAACCACTGGACTCAGAGCTGCAACCATGGAGAGAATTGCAGATTCCATGTCCTGACCGAGAAGTACCTGTGTCAGAGCTGGATCTCCTCAGTGGCTCAGACAGAGCAGTGGACAGCATATCCAAATGGACTTGGAGGAAATGGCAGTACATTGGAGCCTGCAGAAGACACCTGGTAGCATGGCAGAAGACGGAGGACAGACAAATTGACCAACTACTCCAACCAAGCGTTGGCAGTGAATATCTGGGCAGACAGAGACTCTGAGGTGGACCACAGCAGCCAGTAGATTCTGGAGACATTTCATTGCGTTGGAGTAGCGGGATTGACACAGTTCAGCACTGTTGAACTATCAAAACCTCTTGAGAACATCATGGTGTTGTAAGTTTCTATTTTTCTTCCTGTTGTTGATTTATATTGTGGCTTTCCAGTTAAGGGGATGTATAGTAACTGTGTAATGGAGACTATCATACCCAGATGTGAGGATACAGTGGATACAATGCAGTAGGCATATCTGCTTCCAGATCAAAGATGGACTCCCATTGAAACTGTTAAGTATATCTTGACAATAGGATGCTGGACTCTCAGCCATTGTCAATGCCTGCAATGACGGACATTTGACTGTTTATGAAGAACTATACTATAGTAATAATATAGGGAACTCAATAGGAGAGAGGGGACTTGCGATGAGGGTAAGGGATATACCAAGGCCTATGGAACTGTATCATAAAATGATAATAATTGAGAATAAAATAATTAAAAATAAAATATTGAGTTTGTTTTGTGGTTCTTCATTTAAGGGGATGTATAGTAGCTGTGTAATGGAGATTGTCATATCTAGTAACATGTCATTTTACTTCATGGCATTGTAAATTTCTATTTTTCTTTCTATTGTTAATTTTGTATCATGACTTTTCATTTGAGGGAATGTACAGTAGCTGTGAAATGGAGACTAACATTCAGATGTGAGGATGCAGTGTGGTATGCATTTCTGTTTCCAGACAAAGAAGGACTTACAATGAAACTGTTTACTATATCTTGACAATAGGATTCTGGACTCTACCATGGTCCATGCCCGCAATGATGGACATATGACTGAGTATGAAGAACAATATGTTAGTAATGATATAAAGGAACTAGATGGGGGGGGAGGGATTTGGGGAGGGGATAAGGGAATATGGAACTGTATCATAAAATGATAGCAATAATAATAAAACTAAAAAAAAAAAGAAAATGTTTAAAAATTTTTTAAATAATTTTTAAAAATCTTACAGCTTCCCAAGAACCTCTGAATGTGAGTTCATCGTCCCAGCTCAGGGAAGACATTACAAAAGGAAACACCTTGTTAAATGGGAAACTACTAATTCTAGACCCCAAACACTTCAGATGTCAGAAAGGTCAGG